ATCTCCGCGGCGCTCCAGGCGAACATGTCAGCATTCTCGCGCAAGCAGGCCTTGATTTGCTTTCTCGCCAGGTCGGGGAGATCTTTACCAATCTTCACTCCTTTGGTCGGGTCTGTGCCGAGGGGGACGAGCTCAAAATCCCCGTCCGGTATTGGTCGGAGTGGGATTTGCTCGATGTTGAGAGGTTCGTCCTGGTTGAAACGAGTGTCCAGAGCTATGGAGTCGACCTTGGGTGGAGCTTTCTGGGCTTCTTCCTTGATGGACTCTTGCTTATCGGGCTCCTGTCGTGTCTTTTTGGTGGGCCTTGTCCCCATGTCAACAGTGTCGCGTCCCTTAGATGCGGCGTTGAAACACCACCGAGCGGCGGCCAGATCTCCTTGGATAGTAGCTACCCGTGCCCTTTTGGTGTAGAATTTCATCTTCAGGTGGAGTCTCGAGGGCACCGCTGTCAGTTCTGCCAGTGTTGGTCTCCCCAGAATGCAGTTGTATAGAGACGGGCAGTCGATGACGAGGAAGCGTACTTTGACTTGTCTTGTAGCCGTCCATTCGCCGAACGTAACCAGGAGCTCGACATATCCCCAAGGTTTGGAGGTCGAGCCGTTGAAACCTTGTAAGTCCGACCCTACATACGGCGAGAGATGTGAGTCGTCCAGCTGTAGAGTTTGGAACAGTTGGCTGTACATCATGTTGACGGAACTCCCTTCGTCGACGAGGATGCGATGTACATCAAAATTGGACATTCTTGCCCTTATCAGTAAGGGGATGACCGCGTTCGGGGCTCCTCCGGGGAGCTCTTCTAGGTAGAAGGTGATGGGCTCTGACCTGCCCTTCACCCTTTCGAACGTCACTATTTGCGGGGGTGTCGCGTCGACCAGCTTGTCCAGCTTCCTCTTAGCCGAATTAATGGTCAAGTCGTTGAATCCGCCGCCGTTGATGACCATGGCGGAGGGGAAATATTCCCACCTGCTGTGCGTTGTGAGCGGCTCCTGCAGGTGCTCGAGGATGTCGAAGTCCTCGGGCCTGGTCACAGAGAAGGCGGTCTGGATGGGGACCGACTCGACAGATGGTCGGACATCTTCCTCCGGCTCCCTTGTCTCCTGGGCGTCACGACGGGGAGCGTCGCTTCGCCGGTACTGCGCGAGCCTCCCTCCCTTGATGAGGGTTTCGATGGCGTCCTTGAGGTGGACGCAATCCTCAGTCAGATGACCATTGCTCCTATGGCACCGACAATATTTGTTTTTGTCTGCTCCGGGCTTGGCGGGAGCAGGTCGGGGACGTTTAACACCTCCGTCCTTGAAGTCAGTGCTGGCACACTCCGCCAGAATGCGCTCGCGGGAAGCTGTGAGCGGAGTGTACTCGGTGAAACGCCCCGAGGGTCCTCTTTGTTCTCGGACTTCCCGGGGTCTGTCTTCTTTTCTTTTCTCCCCGGTTCGTCGAGGAGGAGGAGCTTCCTGGCGCGAGCTGCTGTTGGACCCGCGAGTCATGGGGTCTCGGGCTCTATTGGCCGCTTCCCTCTCCTCGTAGTCCATGTATGCCCGAGCTTTTTCGAGGAGGGCGTCGAATGTCCTGGGTGGCTCGATGCCCACGACTTTTCTGAATTCCGTGCCGGGGAGGAGCCCCCTCTCCAGTAGATATCTCTTCATATGGTCCGCGCAGGGGACCTGTATGGCTTCCCGGTTGAAGCAATTGATGAACTCCCTCAAGGTTTCATCCTGTCTTTGGATGATGGCCTCGAGAGCCGCCTCGGTCTTTGGATGCCGCCGAGAGGCTGTGAATGAACTGATGAACTGGTTCTTCAGGTTTCGCCACGAGGTGATTGAGCCCGGTGCGAGTCCTTTGTACCAGTCCATTGCCACCTTCCTGAGAGTCGTGGGGAATAGTCGGCATTTGATGGGCCCCCCGACATTATGGTAATGCAGCATAGCCTCGAACCCGTCTATGTGGTCGACCGGGTCCGCGACTCCATCGTACTCCTTCAAGTGCGGGGGTTTCTCCATGCCCGGGGGGATGGGCGCTTCCATGATAGCTTGCGACAGGGGACCGCGGGGGTCGTCCTCGTCGCTCCTCTCCGGAGACAGAGATGGGGACCTGTAATACTGTCGGGCACGACGGTCCTGGTCGTGCTGAGTTTCTCTCGAGCGTGATGCTCGTTGGTTGAATCTTACACGTCCGTCTTCGGAGTGCCTTCTTTCCTGTCGCGACTAGGTCCTCCGGCTTGGATGATGGGCTGCCTCTCCAAATGGGGTCGTTTCCCCTTTGGTCGGGGTGACTGGCTTCGAGAGTTTTCTCTGTAATGTCTCCGCGGGGGAGACGGGAGTTGGACTTCAGTCACTCGAGGAGGTGGGGTATGGGGCCTTCGATTCCTCCTCGGGGGTCTTCGGTCGTCTTCAAGCGCCTTTAGCCTTTCCCCTTGGGCGAAGATGAGATAGTTTGTTTGATTAATCGCTGCGAACAACACTTGAGTTATGGCATCCGCCCCGGCGGGGACGGGGACTTCCTGGAACCGGGCTGCCCGGTAGTTCGCGAGAGCTGCCTCATCGTCTTCGAGTGGCGGAGGGACCGAGGAAGATGAAGCAGTAGCTCCGTCGCGGTAGGTTGAAGGTCCGGGGGCAGTTGACGCAGGGATGGTGTTGTGACCGGGGTTGCCGGCGTTGTCAAGGTGTCCGTTTTTGTCTGCGGGGCCGTTGTTGGTGTCGACGACGCGGACGTTCTGTTCATCGTGAGCTTGATCATCCATGACAGCGGTAGTTGAGTTTGAGCTTTGGTCTTTGAGTTTTGCAAGACGGGGAAGCTAGTTTCCCACAGACAGCGCCACTGATCTAACCTGATCAGACTTGGACTGTCACGGCTGGCTCCGAGCTGAAGTTTTGAACGAGGTGGGGGGGGTACCTGCAAGGCACTCCGATGCTGAAGTAAGTAAGAGCACGAGCAGGTAATAGTATGAGTGTGGGTAAAAGAATGAATACCTGACCCTCTGGGAACAGAGGGTATTTATAGCCCCCAACGCTGGGCCAAGGTTCCTTCATTGGGCCGGGCAGGTTTGGCCCAATGGAGGAACTGCCAGGTTCTACGTGCGTAGTGGGGACCCGCACGTGGTCCCCTTCCTGGATGTTCTGCGTGAAGTACGGACGGACGAGGACGCGGTCTTTTCGGGATCCAGGGGATGGTGTAGTGGATAGAGTCTGCCCTAGGAGGAGTGCTCGAGCTGAGGTCGAGCAGGATAGCATGGAGTCGAGGATGTCGCACTAGTAGAGAATGCCGGGCACGGATATGGCCTTTTGGTCGGCGTGACCCCTTGCAAGACCGTTTGGATTGGGCCTTCACAATTGCTTTTGGGCCAGCCCGGCCCAGTCCAGAATAATTTTGATCTTTATGAAAAAAATACAATCATTCACCATGATGAATTATCATAGATCATCTAACTTAGATCAATCACAAGTTTTAAATGCCTCTTCTTCATTAGAGATGAATCGCGTTCGAGACTCAATTCGCGATAAAATTATAGAATACAAGTTAAGAAATTAGTATTGTTATAATATTTTAGTTCTATAATGCATTTTAAATTTTATTATCTGTTTTGTAATTTTCTTTTGACATGCTTCATTTTTAACTATCATGCTTCATGTTTTACTATCATGCTTCATGTTTAACTATTATGTTAATTTAGTAATTTTTATTTTTATGTGTTTTACAATGTCCATTTTGGTAATTATACATTTAAAATCAATTTTGATAAAGATTATCCAAACAACATTAATTGATAATAATCACTTTTACACAAATGTATCCAAACATAAATCAATTTTGTCAAATTCAATTTTACCAAAATCAATTCTACCAAACTCAATTATGCCAAAATCAATTTTATCCACCACCAATCCAAACACACACTTAGTCCTTTTTACTTTTCACATTCTGTGTGTCTGTCACATTTAATTTCCCTATATACTTTTAAGTAGCAACATGATTTCCAGGACACTACTAAATTTTCTAAAAAAATACAAACTCCCACCTATGTGAAAAGTTGAAACTTATTTTTTAATTATTTTTAACTTTAATGTAGCGATGTGATGATCAAATCATTACCAATTTTTATAAAATTTTCCTCTTCCCCATGTGAAAAGATGAATATAATATTTTTATTATTTTAAAATGTTTGCATCGTTATTTTCACAAGCCAACTTCCTTTTAGTGCAATGTGATATTCACACGCCTATAACACAGTGACCGGAGCATTGTTTTCTTGTAATGCACACTATACTTTGAACATAATTGCTGGAGGCTTCACGACAGGAAAGGAATCAAGCTCATACATTGTCAGAGCACCACCCTTATAAAAAATGTAAGAAATCATTTTTTCAGAACGAACGCAAAAGGAATCATCACCCCTTACCAGGATGATCCCATGATAATTTGTTGGAAACCCAACACAACATAAGCAGAAATATTAAGAGAAAAAATGGAATTAACACACAGAACAAAATGATTGCTTTATTATATGATGAAAAGATGGAAATACAAAAAGGGAAATGACCTTAGATCTGACATAGAGCAAGCTCCTATAGAGCCTCCTATTCATGACTAAAAAACAAAGTATTTTCCAAGGTAATTCTCTCAACCTCTCTTTCATTCCTTATATTGTGGAATCGTACAATCATTCTCTCTCTCTCTCTGCACTCTCTAACATAATTCCTTCTCTTTCTCCTTTTAGCCCCTTCTGGAATAGACTCTCCATACCTTGGGCCCATTGGGCTGATGATAAACCATATCCTCATTTGATCAATCCCCTGTCACGTGGTCTCTATCAATACTCCCTTCTAAAAGTTCAACCTTATCTTCAAGGTGAAATGTCAAGAACTGACTTCTAATTGTCACAACATCTTCCCAAGTTGCTTCATCCGCGGTCTGACCCTTCCACTACACCAACCATTGTTGCACTTCTTCTCCTTGTTTTATAAAATTCTTGGACACCAGCACCTTGTCAGGTTCCGGCATAATTGGTTCTTCACCTTCCAACTGGTCCGACAAGTTCTCTTCACTCTGATAATTTCATACAGCCTTCTTATGCAAGGACACATTTAAAACGTGATGGATTTTCGACCCTTCAGTTAACTTTAACTTGTATACTACATCCTCAACTCTATCAATCACTAGAAACTATAGATTGTTTTTTATGTGCTCTAAATTTAACAAACACCCATTCCTCAATTTCAAAGGATTTATCAACTTTGTTAGCATCTGCATGTGCTTTCATTCTACTTTGCTCCCTTAGGAATTATTCTCGCAATTGCTGCAATGATTCATCTCTATCATGTAATTCCCATGAAACCGCTTCAACACGTGTCTCACCAACTCCCCAATGAACCAAAATCGATGCATTCCTTCCATATACAACCTCGAAAGGGGTTTATAGGGTTGCAGAATGATAAGTGGCAATGAACCCAAATTCCGCCCATGAAATCTTCCAATTCATCCACACATTAGGTTGATCAGCTGTAAAACAACAAAGATAGGTTTTGGGACAACGATTAACTACCTTGGTCTGTCCATTGGACTCGGGGTGATAGGCTGAGCTAAACTTCAAATGTGTTCCCTGTAATTTGAATTGCCTTTCTCCAAAAATGACTCATGAATATAGGATCCCGATCGCTCACAATTGACATAGAGATGCCGTGCAGCCTAATAATTTCTTTGACAAATATCTCATCCAAGTTTCTGGGCGTATACGGGTGTTTGAGAGGCACAAAGTCGGAGTACTTAGATAGTCTATCTACGACCACCATCACTGCTTCATAACCTTTGGATTTCGGTAACTCTATTATAAAGTCCATTGACAAGTTTTCCCACACATTCATTAGGACTGGTAAGGGTTGAAGGAGATCCCCTGGAGATGCTGCTACATATTTCTGTCTCTGACAGGTATCACACCCTTTAACAAATTCTTGAACAATATTTTTCATTCCCGGCCAATATACTTTAGTAACTATTCGTCGGTATATTCTCAAGAATCATGAATGCCCTCCCTGAGGTGAACTATGAAATTCCTCCAGCATTATCGGAATCAACGCAGATTGTGATGACAGAACTAACCTCCCTTTGTATATTAATTGGCCGTATTGTATATTGTACTCTGAATGTAATGTAGGATCCCCAGATAACTCTTGCCAAACTTTTCTTATCTTTTCATCTGCTTGTACCTCATATTTCACCTACTGCAACTCTTCCCAAAAAGGATAAAAGACACAATATTGTTAAATTCACCTCCATCTTGAATTTGTGATAATGCATGTGCTCCTTGATTCAAAATAACAAATTCTTTCTCAAAGTCAGGCAAAGATAGCACCGATGCTTCTATCAATTTTTTCTTTAAAAATTCAAAAGCCTGTTAAGCCTCTCGTCCCCAACCAAACGCATCATTCTTGGTCAATTACGTTAAAGGTTTGGCTATTTTTCCATAATCACGAATGAATTTTCTACAATAGTCGGTTAAACCCAAAAATCCTCTCACCTCTTTCATATTCTTTGGTATCAGCCACTGCACCATGCTACTGTACTTGTTTGGATCCATAACAACTCCTTCTTCAGATATCATGTGCCCTAAGTATTCTATCTTGCTTTTCCCAAATTGGCATTTCTTCCTATTAGCCGTCAGACCATGTGTTTGCAGGATGTGAAAAACTTGACTCAACTGATTCATATGTTACTGTCAGTCTTGGCTATAGATTAAAATGTCATCGAAAAACACCAACATCCCTTTCCTAAACATTGGTCTAAACACTTCATTCATAAGCCCTTGAAAAGTTGATGGAGCATTCATCAGTCTAAACGGCATAACTAAAAATTCATAATGCCCTTCGTGTGTTTGGTACACAGTCTTGTGCACATCCTCACTCTTTACTCTAACTTGTTGTTAACCGAATTTTAAATCCAATTTGAATAAATATCGTGCACCATGTAATTCTTCTAACAACTCTTCAATCACCAGGATTGGGAATTTATCAGGAATGGTCACCTTAAGAGCACGATAGTCTACACACATACGCCATTGTAACTCCTTCCGTTGATCTAAAGTAAATGAAACTTCTGTCACATTTTGTTGGCCCTTGTCAATGGACCACCAAACTTGTTCATTCTTCCCTCCACTCCTGCTCAGCAAGCTTTATAGCGCTTCCTCCCTATCAACTTTTTCCTTAGCCCTTGTAATGTAACCCACTTTCCTCCACTCCAAAAATGCATTGTCTGTTTGTCCCAGTTGACGATAGTGTTGCCAAGAGTCTTCAACCACTCAACTCCCAATATTAAGTTAGGATCTCCTAATTCAAACAAATGTGGTGTGCATTCAATCTTCACTTCTCCCATCTCTACTTCCACACTCTTGCAATGCCCTCTAGTCATGTTTGGAAACCATCTCCTTATTTGACTGACATGTCGGGTGTGTCCACAATCTCCCAACCCATTCTTCGCACCGGTCTTTGATCAATAAAGTTGTGTGTCGCTCCACTGTAAATTAAAATTAAAACCGGCATGCCTTGAAACTTCATTGTTTGAGGCTACTCACGGCTAGATGTGATGAAGTTATTCAAGCTCATAACGCTCATCTCTCCATCAGTTTCAACATCTTCCTTTTCATTTATTTCCACCGCCAAAATATTACCTTCTATTGGATCCTCGTCCTCTTCTACTATTAACACCCTTAGCTGCTTGTCTGGACATTAATGCATCGGGTGAAAAAGCCCACCACACTTAAAGAATAATACCTTTGTTTCCTTTCCAATAACTGTGGGTATGTGAGGTGTGAGAAACATCTGTCTCGTGGTCCATCTCTCACTCCTTCATTTGGGCCCATTCTATCTCTCTTGGGTCCAACAGTTTTTTTGTTATTGTTGCTTGTCCTTTTACAAAAACCCAATTCTGATGACCCGCTCCACTACTGTTTGGCTTATAACCTGACACATATGATTTGGATCTCTGGTTATAGCTCAAACCCATCTCTCCCTTAACCTCCTTCTCTATCGTGCGTGAAACTTGGAGAAGTCGTGTGTGTGTGTGCTTCGTGTTAGAATTAAATGCTGGAAAACTTACTTAATTAAATAAGAAAAGGCCAATAAATAGGCTTACACAATATCACACGATCTCCCTAATTGCCCATTATATGTGGAGCAGTTTATTCCTTCCTAAAATCTAGGTACTGACTTTGGCTGAAACAATAAAATAGCTAACAATAAGCTGACACATTCTAATGTGCTGCAATACTTAATTTAATTAAAATAAATATCAAAATATTAATCTTAACATCTCCTCCTAAACTGAACAGTCCAATTCAGTTTAACTTTGGTGCATCACATACTCCTAGCTTCTTTCTAAGTCCCTGGAAGGTTCTTGTGTCGAGTGGGTTAGTAAATATATCTGCAACCTGCTGCTGCGTGCTACAAAACTTTAACTGAACAGCTCCTTCATTCACCAGCTCACGTAGGAAGTGGAACCTTACATCGATGTGTTTGCTTTTGTCGTGCATCACCGGATTTTTTGATAGCTTGATTGTTGAGTTGTTATCACAGAAAATAACAGGGTTGCTGCTTCCTTCATAGCCAATTTTGCCCAACACTCTTTTCATCCATATTAACTGACAAGAACAAGTTGCTGCCGCCACAAATTCTGCTTCAGTTGTACTTAGAGTAATAATTGGTTGTTTCTTGGAGGACCATGCCACTGCTGCATCACTAAGAATGAAGGTATACCCGAATGTACTTTTTCTATCCTCCACACATCCAGCGTAATCACTGTAGGTGAATCCTACTAGCTCTTTGTTTCCTTCTTTCCTGTAAAAGAGCCCATATTCAATAGTCCCTTGCAAATACCTTAAAATTCTATTGGCTGCTGCAAAGTGAAGTTAAGTTGACATAGACATGTATCTGCTAATCAGACTAACAACATACATTACATCTGGCCGAGTGGCTGTCACATACATCATACTTCCCACAAGCTTCTTATAGAGTGTGATATTTACCTTCACACCTTCTTCATCTTTGTGAATCTTAAACCCCGGGACAATAGGATTTAAGACAGAGTTGCTTTCCTCCATTCTGAATTTTGTTAGTAACTCTTTCACATACTTTCTTTGACACATGAAAATTCCATTATCAAGCTGCAACACCTCAATTCCCAGGAAGTATTTCATTCTTCCCAAATCAGTCATTTCGAACTCTTTCATCATGGATTCTTTAAACTCATTCATCATAGTTTGATCATTACCAGTGTAGATTAAATCATCAACATACAAGCTAATAATTAGGCATTTACCTTGTGTGTTGAATATTGTGAAGAGTGTTTGCTCGCTGACATCCTTTACAAATCCCATCTTCTGAAAGTAAGTATCTATCCTGCTGAACCATGCACGTGGTGCCTGCTTCAATCCATATAGGGCCTTACGAAGCTTGTACACTTTGCTTTCAGCACCCTTGATTTCATACCCTCTTGGCTGGTCTACGTACACTTCTTCGGAGAGTTCTCCTTGCAAGAAAGCTGACTTTACATCTAACTGATAGATTATCCAACTTTTCTGAGTTTCCAATGCTAAAATCATCCTCACAGTATCCATTCGAGCGACCGGTGCATATACTTCCTCATAATGAATTTCGTGTTCTTGTGCATATCCTTTTGCAACTAGCCGAGCTTTGTACTTTTCAACTTCTCCATATTGATTCAATTTAGTCTTATAAACCCATTTTACTCCTATACTTTTGGCTCCCTCTGGTAGATTAGTGAGAAACCATGTTTCATTCTTCTCAATGGATTGAATTTCTGAATTCATAGCATTTCTCCATTCTTGGCTCTTAGCAGCTTCTTCATAGCCAATAGGATCACATTCTATGAATAAGGCTAAATGTGAAGTGTGATCTTGACTTGCTTTAGCAGTTTCAGCTTCATCATTGACGGTAATTTCAGCTTCATTATTGACATTATAGTCTCTCATCCACACTGGTCTCCTTCTGATACAACCTGTCCTTCTGACACAATCTCCTTCCCTTGTATTTGAGGCTTTAGGAGATGACGCAGCCGCTGCCATGGTGTTTTCTGTAACACTTCCCTCTTCATCTATGCTTGCTTTATCTTTTTCAGTGACAGTTTCTATAATAACATCATAATCTTCATTGGTAACATCTTGAGTCTCAATTTCTCCTTCATTTATGTCATCTCCCCAGTCTAGATCAAGGCTTATCAAGCTGTCATAGCTCTTATCCCAGCTCCACTTTTTCTCTTCTTCAAACACAACATCCCAACTAACAATGACTTTCTTGCTTATGGGATCGAATAGTCTGTAGCCTTTTGATTATGAACTAACCCCAAACAGTACACAACTTCTGCTTTTATTCTCTAGTTTAGCGCGTTTAGCGTCAGGCATATGTACATGTTCTATACAACCAAACACCCTAAAATGATCTACAAATGGCTTTATCCCACTTCAAGCTTCCATATGTGTCATGTCCTTCACAGAAGAAGTTGGACTTCTGTTAAGCACGTAGAATGCCCAACTCGCAGCTTCAGACCAAAAACTCTTAGGAATATCAACCATCATACTTCTTACCATGTTCATCACTGTTCTGTTCTTCCTCTCAGCTACTCCGTTTTGTTGCAGCGTGTAAGTTGTGGTTAGTTGTCTCTTGATTCCATTATCTTTACAATAATCATTGAAAGCACTTGATGTAAATTTCCTCCCCAATCTGTTCTTAAGCACTTAATAGAAAAACTAGACTCTTTTTCAACACTACTCTTAAATTGCTTAAAGGCAGCAAATGCATCAGCTTTATATGCAAGGAAATAGACCCATGCTTTCCTACTAAAGTCATCAATGAAACAAAGCAAATACCTCTTTTGGCCATTTGAAGCTGGTGAAATGGGTCCACAGATGTCAACATGGATTAATTCCAACTTAGTTGAAGCATGCCATATGCTTATTTTTGGAATATTTTCTCTATGTTGTTTTCCTTTCAGACAATCTGTGCAAATGGAATCAGGTCCGAGAAGACACGGCATCCCTTTCACCATCTCTTTGTCCTTCAACATGCGCAATCCTGTGTAACCGAGATGGCCAAACCTCCGATGCCAAAGCTGTACCGAATCTTGGGTTGTGGACTGCAGACAAACTTCTTTTGTTTCCTTGTCAAAATACTTATCAGAGAGCACAACGAACATACGGTTGGAGGTCATGTTGCTCTGAAAGATGAGGCCCTTTGTTCAGTGATAAATGCAGCATTTATTATCCTTCATCACCACTGTTAATCCTTTTTCTTGCAGCTGTCCAAGGCTAAGAAGATTATTCCTTAGTTCTGGAACATAGAAGACATCCTGAACAAGATAGCTAATGCCTCCAAAGTATAGCCTGACAGTACCTTTACCAACCACATTTAACTGCATATGATTCCCCAGCCGCACTATTCTTTAAAATCCATCTTCCAACCGATTAAATAATGATGGGTCTCCACACATGTGATTACTGCATCCTGAATCTAGAAACCACACATCAGTTTTGCTTTGCCCAAATGATTCATGATAAGCCATGAGCAACGTCTCCTCAATTTCTTCAATTTCAGTGTAATTTGCTTGCTTAGCTATATTTGGACACTCATACTGAAAGTGACCCAACTGATGGCACTTATAACATTCAATGGTTGCCTTGTTATAGGTTTGTCGGCCTCTGCCTCCTTTTCCCCTTCCTCCTCTGAAAGCTCCGCGGCTTCCTTGTCCTCTTCCACCATTGTTCTCACCGTATGCCACCGTGAGTGCTTCCTCTTCATCTACTTCCTTCTTGAATTTTTGCTCGTGCACAAGAAGGGAGCTTTGCAACTCGTCGACAGTAAGCGTGTCCATATCTTTGGCTTCCTCAATGTAACACACAATATAGTTCCACTTTTCAGTGAGGGTTCTCAAAATCTTCTCGATGACCTTGACATCAGTCATATCTTCACCACAATTCCTCATATCGTTTGCAATCACCATTACCCTACCGAAATAATCATTGATTGATTCTCCTTGCTTCATGGCAAGGATCTCAAACTCTCTGCACAATCGATTGAGTTGGGCTCACTGAACTCGAACATTGCCCTGGTATTTTATCTTTATTGAATCCTAGATTTGTTTCGATGTTTCCTTCTTTGGGATTGTCTTCAGAATTGACTTGTCAAGAGATTGAAACAAGTAATTCTTGGCTTTCAGGTCCTTCAACTGCGTCTCTTCCGCCGTCTTTCTCTGTGCAGCCGTCGGTACTTCTCCTGCAGCGGTTGAACGAGGCCTGTGGTCACAATAATTCAATACTCCTTCGAACGGAGAAGGTTCTCCATGAGCATGCTCCAATGATCATAATCACCATCAAATTTAGGAATTGATGGTAGATTAAAACGATCGCCGCCTTCGGACGCCATCTGCTCTTTCTCTCTTGATTCTTGTGAAATTTTCTGCTCTGATACCAGATGTTAGAGTCAAATGCTGGAAAACTTACTTAATTAAATAAGAAAAGGCCAATAAATAGGCTTACACAATATCACACGATCTCCCTAACTGTCCATTATATGTGGAGCAATTTATTCCTTCCTAAAATCTAGGTATTGACTTTGACTGAAACAATAAAATAGCTAACAATAAACTGACACATTCTAATATAGTGCAATACTTAATTTAATTAAAATAAATATCAAAATATTAATCTTAACACTTGGTACCTTCCCACAAATTCACTCTTCAATCCATGTAAAAAGTACATTTGGAATTGTTTGTCAGGTAATTTTGGGATCTGAGCAATTAAGTATTCGAAATCGATGATGTATTCCTTAACCGTACCTTTCTAATGTAGTTATGAGAGTTGTTCATAAACGTCACCGTCACCATTTCCTCCATAATGTTCCAAGAGAGCACCCTTCAACCCTTCCCTTCATCTAGGAGAGAATTCCATAAATGAATCGTTGCGCCTTCCATACACAGTTGTGCAAAGTTCACCTTTACTTCCGGTGAGGTATGTTACACCCAAAAATAGACTTCTGCTCGCGAGACCCACCCTGCCAAATCCTTGATGTCAAACATCGGAAGGCTTTCTTCACGAACTGACGAAACTCTGTCAAAGCACCCCCACAAATATTGTTGATAATGGTGCTATGTGGTTACCCCTTTTTCGCTCCCACCGGCATGCAACGTCAACGCCTTACCCAAACATTTTTCCAACATTGCTATCAAGCCTTACCCAAACATTTTTTCAACATTGCTATCAAGTTAGTGTGATTGGTTTTCACCGTATTCTGCACTTCGTCTAGAGTTGATCGTACCTCCGTGATATCACTCTCTAACCTTTTGACCCTAGCTTCCATCTTCGTCAACGCCGGTAACATCACCTTCTTAGGTGGCATTCATTGCCTCTGTCATTGCAAATCTCGTAGATCGGACCAATTTGTTGGAAACCCAACACAACACAAGCAGAAATATTAAGACAAAAAATGGAATTAACACACAGAACATAATGATTGCTTTATTATATGATCAAAAGATGTAAATACAGAAAGGGAAATGACTGAGCAACAAAGTATTTTCCAAGATGTAAATACAGAAAGGAAAATGACTGAGCAACAAAGTATTTTCCAAGATAATCTTCTCAACTTCTCTTCCATTCCTTATATTATGGAATAGTACAATCGTTCTCTCTCTGCACTCTCTAACAGAATTCCTACTCTTTTCCTTTTTTGCCCCTTCTAAAATAGACTCTTCCTACCTTGAGTCTATTGGACTGATTCATCCCCTATCAAGTGGTCTCTATCATAATCCACTTTTAAATTCATTAGTGAAACGTCAATAGTATAATTGATGTACATAATCTTAGATGCATTTATTTTGTAAAAACTTTTTAATTAATATTGTGTTTGTTTTGAGTATAAACAATGAAGAAATAGATTTTCAAACTGGAGAATTTAAGATTTTTTAAAAATAATAAAAATGTTAAAATAAACATTTTCATTATTTTCTAATATATATTATTTCTAGCTAGTATTTTATATTATTTTCATCCCAATGACTCGTGTTAAGAATTTATTTTGTTATAGTTAACATGTAACACAAACATAATTCATTTTAAAAGAAAATAGAAAATATTTTCACGAAGTAAATTGTGTGTTGTATATTTATTTTCATTAAGATTTTTTCTTTCAACCAAGAAACCTTGTAGTAGCAAAGAATAGAAGCTAGCTACAAGCAATAATATTCCAATGTTTTCTACCTATTGCGGTGCATAACTGCTCATTTAGTGGTGGCCATATCATTGGTGAATGCCCATAAATAGCATCTAAGAAAATTTATGATTAAGAACCGCTAATCATTACTTCGTGCATATGGATTGGTCATAGCACACTTTATTCACCGCCAATGTTCACTCCAATTTATTTAACCAAAGTTATTATATAATGCATTCGCTCCTTTTGGTTTCAGCACAAAAATCACAAGCTAAGAAATATCACTATATCCTTGTCCTAGTTCTTATCTGAAATATGGCTCAAAGAGCTTACTCTTTCTCTGCACTTTTTCTCATCTTCAATATCCTCCTTGTCACAACACGGCAAGCAGTTGCTGGCCGGAGCATTTCTAAGAACCCCGACAACAACTCCGAGAAAGTACCTCAGTTTTCTCTGCATTTTCCAAGCATTGGACATTTAGGATCTCAACCACACCTAGGGCGTATCCCTAATAACCCTTTTATCGGTGGCATTGGAGGATCGAGAACAAGATCGCGACCAAGATCAGGATCATCAGGCCTCAGATATATTCCTGGTAACGATGACACTTTTATTCCAAACCCGGGCTTTGAAGTTCCAATACCTGGGGGTGGTAGAGTTGCACCAACAAAAGTTTATCCATGAATTCACTCGTAGTTCTATGCATGAATGGAATAGCTAGACTCATGGTTTTAAATTGTGGATGCTATTGCAGTTGAGCTTGTTAAGTTCATTTTTACTTCTTTTTAGCCATGAAAATAAGTGCTGTACTAGATGTACACACACTAGCAGATTGTTGCTTTGTATGTTAGTGGCTTGTTTAATGTTTTCCAACTGATTTAATTTAATATTATTTGAGTTTTTAATTATTCTTCGAAGTGGTTGCTTAATTATTGTGTATCAACATTCAGCAATTTGACCTCAAATGATTGCATCTAAAAAAGCAAGAATAGACAACCTAAAAATATTCTTTTTTTTTTTTCATTTATTTATATGGGTTCATTTAGTACACGATATGATATGTTTATTCAATAAATGCATATTTTGCATTTAAGTAATGAATTATAATAAGAAAATGATGATATGTGTTGATGCATAAAGGAGAGATGAAAATTTTATATTTTAATAATGAATTATAATAATAAAATGTTGAGATGCGTTGATGCATAAAGGAGAAATGAAAGATAAAAAAAATATGTTAAATGACGGCTATAAAATAAGGAGTAATGAATATATTGATCTATTTATTATTAAGCTATTTATACATAATATTAGGGTATAATAAAATACTAAAATATTCTATAACAGACTTAGTCAACAAGACATTCCTAAAATATAAATTATTTCCAACAACATCTCTTAATTTATATTTACACAAAACTGACAACACAAATTTCACCCTTCAAACAAAGAAATTGATCAGTCTTGATAGTCTTTGTTAGAACGTCTATCAGCTGCTTCTGGGTGCTATAGTGCACAACTTCTAATATTCCACTTTGAACCTGATTCCTCAAAAAGTGATACTTGGTCTCAATATGCTTGCTTCTCCCATGTAGCACTAGGTTCTTAGCAAAATTAGTTGTAGACTTGTTATCATTCATCAACTTCAAAGTCTTGTTTACCTCGATCTTCAGATCCTACATCAAGTTCAGAATCCACTCAACTTCAATCCATACAAGGCTTTGTGTAATTTGAACACCATCCCTTCCTGATTCTTTTTCTAAAATCCAGAAGATTATGACACATACACCTCTTCTTGTAATGGACCATTCAGAAATACAAATTTTACATCTAAATACATCAGAGGTCAATTCCTGTTAGCAACTGTTGCAATCACTAGTCTACTTGTTTCATGTCTCGCTACAGGTGCAAACACTTCAGAGTAATCCAGTCCAGACTTCTGTAGAAAATCTATTGCTACTAATCTTGCTTTGTGTTTTCCAATTGATCCATCTGGCTTTACCTTCTGCTTGAAAACCCATCTGATGCCGATGGCTTTCTTGCCTTTTGGATGTTCTGTCAGCTTCCAAGTCTTGTTTTTCTCTATAGCATCAAGTTCTTTTTTCATGGCCTGCAACCAGACTTGTTGCTTAAGAGCCTCTTCCATACTCACGGTTTCAGAGTCTACTAACATTACACACTGAATAACTTCTCCTTCGGAGTCTACTTCAGTATTTTACAACATGTCAAACTCTACAAATCTCCTTGATATATTTCTGACTCTATGTGGCCTCTGAACTTGTTCAGAATCTCCTTCTGATTCTGGAACAATATCTCCTTCTATAACTTCTTCAAAAGTTTGACTACCACCAGAAACTCCACATTTGTTAGCTTCTGGACCTCGTTCTGAACCACTACCTTCAAAAATATCATCTTCAAAAGTTGGATCACCTTCAAAATCTCTTCCTTCAGAAGCTCTTCCTTCAGAAGTTCCACTTTCATAATCATGATCATTGTCATTGTCAAAGGCTGGATTTCCTTCAGAAGTTCCTCCTTCAGAAGGTCCATCATTAAAGTCATGATTTCCACCAGAAACATGATCATCTTCAGAAGTTTGTCCTCCAGAATCTATGTCTTGAGACTTTTCCCTTCTAGAAGTATGATTACCACCAGATTCTGGATCATCATCAATATCTGGATCAGAATCAGATTCACCATTTGACTCATCTTTAGAGTCTCCAGAAGATTCTTCATCTTCTGACTATAACTCTTCTTCAGAACTTTTAAGTTCTGACTCATCTTCAGAAACCTCAGCTTGTGACTCATTTTCAGAAGCTTCAGCGTCATCTTCTGATTCTGACTCATATTCAAACACTCTTTCTGAGTCAGAATATTTAGAGCCATCTTCTTCCCCTTCAAAATCAGAAAATGACAATCTCATAGGTTCCTCATCAGATTCATAAGCCATTAACATCACATGCTCATCATCTGAATCTCCTCTAGCTATTTTTGCTTCTTCTTTGTTTGACCAACAATCTTTAGCAAAGTGGCCAAGCCTATTACAACAGTAACATTGAACCCTTCTCTTGTCATACTTCTCCTTTCCCTTTTGATGTTTCTTTTCATCAGAATAGAAGATCTCTGACTTCTGAGAACTACCATGTTTTTTTACTTCTTGTCCTTGTTGACAAAAGAAGCTTTCAGAGCCTGCTCAACTTCCCTCTCGGAAGTTCTTTCAGTCAGACACAACTCATGTACCTCTAGACTGTTTTGCAGCTCTTATATTCTCATGGTTTCCATATCTTTAGAATGTTCAATTATTACCACAATGTGATCAAACTAAGAAGTTAAAGATCCCAATACCTTCTCTATGATTACTTGTTCAGAAAGGGTTTCTCTACAAGATTTCATCTCATTAGTGATCAGAATCACTATAGAGATGTACTCAGAAACCTTTTCGTTGTCCTTCATGTTGATATTCTCATATTGCTTTCTTATGGACTGAAGTTTCACCTTCTTCACTGATGCATCACCATGGCAACATCTGTCCAGTGTGTCCCATACAACCTTTGTTGTTTCAGAATCAACAATCTTCTCAAACACATTCGCATCCACACACTGATGGATGTAGAATAATGCTTTACGATCTTTCTTCCTTATCGCCTTCTGTGTTGTCTTCCGTACCTCCATCACGTCTGCTGATAATGAAGCATAGTCATCGGTGATAAGATCTAACACATCTTGAGAATCGAAAAACACACACATCTGGATCTTCGAACAATTTCAGTTTTTGCCATCAAACACTAGAAGCTTGGAATTGATATCACTGTTTCCGTCCATCTTCAACCTTGTGCAGTTCACTCAAAACTCACTAACACACAGTGTTTCTCATATCCCACAGAATCAGAAAAAATGTGATTCTCAATCACACAACACCTCACTGTTCACTCGTGTTTCCTGTGTTTCCCCGTGGATTTCAAACCGGAGCTCTAGATACCAATTGTTGGTGCACAAAGGAGATAAAAGACAAAATAAATATGTTAAATAACGGCTACAAAATAAGGAGTAATGAATATATTGGCCTACTTACTACTAGACTATTTATACACAATATTAGAGTATAATAAAATACTAAAATACCTTCTAACAGACTTAGTCAACAAGACATTTTTAAAATATAAATTATTTCAAATAAAATGGACAATGACACAAAATATAATCAATAAGGAAACACGTTACACATTTCATATTTGAAATGAGATTCTCTAAAGTAAAAATTTCCTCATTCAAGTTACCTTCAATGACCTCAACCGCGGGTGGTAGAAATAAATGAATACTAAAGATTTCACTGCAGAATATTTCACCGCAATTTTAATTATCCGTTCCCCTCCAATTTCACGCTTCAAATCAAACAGCTGATAGATAACTTTCCTCGACATTTCACATCATGCTTTACTAAAGTTTCTATATAAATACTCAAGATAATATGTGAAATCAATAAGCCAGTAAACTAAACTGTCACAAATCCAAAGTTCAGGCACAAGAAAATTATTCTGCAATAAATCCTTCATACTCTGAAATGATTTTCAGATGTAATACATCTTTAATATAAGGCATTGTTTAAAATTTTCATTGGACCTGAATGTAAGAACGGTTGAATTTCAATATAAAATTGGTTTTGAAAATATGCTACTAAAAACATTATTGGATCGAGATTATATTGTTTTTTTAAAGATATTTTGCGGCACTCGAAAAACTTATTTAAGATAGACAATCAACCACTAAGACCCAAAGATAAAAATAACTTAGATCAAAGTATTATGATTACTACCACTATATAGGTAATCAATTATTCTCAAATAATTGTCGTTTGACCATCCTAAATAATTTTTCAGAAGAGGAGAAATTCGAAGAATTCCTTAAATAGAATTCAATAATGGTCGTGTGACTACCCTAAATAATTTATTGAACGATGAAAAATTCAAATAATTTCCAAAAAATATCCAAGAAATACTAAAAAATATTAGGTGTGTAATTCACTTTTCAAAAGTTATAAACTAGTTATACATGTGATTAATACTAGCTGAGCATGCGGTCACTAACTAGAACTTAGTTAGTTAGTAGTATGATCCTATATAAATGATATAACACATGTTTACAATATACTCAATTACATTCCAGTAATACTTCTCTTTCTCACAATTGCTCTATATTCTTTTATATTTTCCTCAAAATACAAATAAATTGTAATTCAAGTTATCCAACATATGTCTAGAACACCAGTTCGATCTTCAATCTTCATCCATGACAAATGGGAGTACAACCTCTAATCAATTCCCAAACAATATACTGATTTTTAAGAGAGAAAACTATGATACACGATGTGCACAGATGAAAGTGATATTTGGATCTCAAGATGTGCTTGAAATCATGAATGATGGTTTCTTGGCATTATAGAAAAATGCTATTGAGGCACAAAGAGCTAATCGCCATGAAATGAGAAAGAATAATGAAAAAAGATTTTTTTTGATTCACCAGTGTATGAATTCAAATGTCTTTGAGAAAATCATTGATGAAGAAATAACCAAAGATGTGTGGAATACTCTCAAGAAGTTGTATGGTTGAGATGAGAAATTAAAGAAAGTAAAGTTGTAATATGAGGAAATAATACAAGAATCTACAAATGAATGATGGTCAAACCATTA